GGCTAGTCAAAGTATAAAGCCTTGAGGTGAAAGTGGTTGAGGGTATGATCTTCATGGCGGTTGGAGACACTCAAAGTCCAAGCTACATAACATTCAAGTTTTGCTCGCAGACAAAAAGAAAGGAGAAACTTTCCAGGCTTCTCGTATCCGATCAAACCCCTAGACGGTATTGCCCGTTGTTGTTTGGTTCTTGCAAAGCAAGTTAGACTCTAGCTCGGCGTCAAATCTAGTTGAAAATCCGATGGACTAAGCTTTCTCTGTCGAAATGGCTCACCCCTCAGGTGGCTTAAACTATGTGTTTGGGCCATATTTTACTACTTGACTCAGTCCGTACTGACTGGGATCTCTTGAGGTTATAGAAAGGGTCTAATTAACAATGCTCAAAGCAAAAATTCAAACATCAGTACATTTTTCATTTCTCATGTTCAATACAAAATAATTTAAAACTAGCCAAAACCTTGAAAACCATCAAAATAGTTTCAAGGTATACAAATCAACAAATATGAAATCTGAAAGAATAGCGAAGGAAAACAAAGGACAAAACTCTGGTAAAAAAAAAAAAATGATTAGCGCCATCTTCTTGCCCCTTTTCAAACAGAGCACACAGTCTGATTAGAAAAACAAAACCCGCGTAACGAACAACATATATTTACTTGAGTTGAGATGTATTACCCTTGGATTTTCCAATCCGAGTCACTCGAACTAGTACCTTGTTCTTCATGAAGATCAACTTTCTGCTCTGAAATCAAGATTGCTTCATTCTCACTAAAATCAAGTATTTTTCTTCTTTCTCTAAAAAGGATGAATCATTATCACCGGAATCCTCTTCATCAAGATTTCCCTTATCAGAAAGGTGCTCCTTCATTTCTGATTGCTCATGGTGTGTTTATGCACTTCCCAGTATTATCTCAGCCACATCTGATGAACATTGGTTTCTCGATTAGCATCATGTTCATCTACCTTCTTTTCGTCATCCTCCAGTATTGTGGCGCAGATTCAGTATCAGGAGCAGAACTGAGTTTTGATTCCCTAACTTCACTGAGATGCCTTTCAAAAGGATTATAGCTTGTTCCCTCATTTGCTAATCATTCTAGCACAACGAAAGGTCGTAGCCTATCATGTCTGGGACCTCCAAGCATTGATGGTCATACACTAAAACTCTCATGTCTTCTGAACACTGGATCCTTTGGTTGTTGAGAAGTAAACTCTTCCTCGAAACTGTCACCCTTGAGGTATGGAAGATCGAATGGGTTTCTCCTAGCAAACATAATTGACAGGGCAGAGCCATGGACAGGTGGTAATCCCATATCAAGTGGATTCTGTCTTGCAGTTGAGATTGGGGGGAATATTAAGGGGCATATTAAGGGGAATATCAGCACTGTCAAAATCAATAAGATTTCTCTCTGCCATTAGTCTCATATTGTGGCAAGCCCTTCTCCTGGCAACAAACAACGAGATAGAAAGCAGTCTTTTCGCGTTCTAACTAAGCAAAGATCAAGGTGAAACCAATATTTTGACAGAATTGAAAATACTAGCCTCTAGCTGTTTCTTAGTTAGAATTGAAAACAAAAGTCGCCTTCTCAAATCGTTGTCAGAAGATGTCCGCAGAGCGCCATTACACACTGGGCGACACTTTGTATAATCTGTAAAATAGGTCTCTGATCAGGTGAAAATTTTCAAAGATTATATAAGCTGAAGGCAAGATAGGAAACAGACGAGGAACCTACATAGTAGCATAAATACAAACTGATCACAGCTAAAACTATTAATGCTTACCGATATAGATTCTGTCACCAAAAACTATGGCTCCAACTTCAAAGGTTCAACGCAAGATCACATTAATAAAAAAAAAACTCCCACGAGACAGAAGAAAACCCTACAAGACAAAGGCCGAACCAAAATGCACTTGGCTGATGTGTCGTTGGAAGAGCCAAACAAGATCACATAGAGTATTCTGAAACGCAATGCGTTGGATATATAATATAACAGGATGCACAAAGCAAAAGAAACAGAGGCCATGTTGTCGGGATACAATATAATAAATCAAAGATGAGAAAATAGACAGTCTTATAAACTTTAAACGACAATAGATTAGGCTGTTTTCTGGTTGGCTCGTGGAGCAGGTTGCTTGATTTGCACTGAGCTCGGAACATAAGAGCATCCAAGTGGCCAACAACTTATGATTCTAGATTCGCCAAGATCCACTGTCTTGAAGTAGCCGTTATTTCCAATGATGTAAGCTATGTTGCGAGTGGAGGTACGAAAGTTAGGTGTACCTCCACCACCTCCTTCTTTATCAAGAACCAGCGCCACCTTATTCTTTTCATCAACGAAGAAACTTCCAGCGGAGAATAAGAAGGGAAAACCGGTGAGAGGTTTCATATCAACCCTTAGCAACACCTTGTTCCACGACACAACATTGGGCTCTATCCTGCTGCTAATCCATATCTTCAAGGTATATGAACAACTTTTCTGACATAACACTGCAATCTGTTTTCCCCTAACACTTGATAGAGCCACAGTATCTCGACCGAAAGGCTGAAAAGGCAGAGGCAGGCGCTGTCCAAATCTCTCCGTCGTGAAATCAAAACAGAGTACGAAAAAGGTTCCATGTTTCTTGTCTTGGGCAATCCAGTAAGTGTTGCCACCGAGAGACAAGCCACCTCGGAAAAATTCTATATCCCAGTCCGGATTGACATGAAGAACCTTCCATGAATTAGAGTTAAAACTGTATATTTCAAACTCACAAATACTCGGGTCGTGCTCATCCACAAATCTCAAGACTTTGTGGCTACGAAGCGAGTACTGGTTATTCCTCTCGTATCCAAGAGCATACCTGTCCAACAAGTGGAAAGAAGTTCTGGGTTCGATCCACCTTGTTTGTGCAGAATAAGGGTTCCAAACAACAAGCCTAGATCTGTCTTTGGTCTGGCATAACAATAAACCATTGCAGTGAAAGATTTTATACATGTCAACTCGATCTTCATCGTCTAGGGTAATGAGTTTACCTATAAGATCTATAGATGGATTAAGGAGATTGACGCTGAATAAAGAAAGCCTACAATCGAGTATCATTACCACTTGAAACTCCTTCCTCTGCTTCTTCTTTGCTTCACGGATGTGAAGCATTGTAAAGGTGCGATTTTTGGATAAAGTGTTCCACGTTTTGCAGGTCGATCGCACTCCTCTCAGCGATGTCACCGGAAGCCTAGAGAGCACCTCCTCTGCCACATCCTTTGGAAGATCGGAGAGCATCGTCGTTATTTGTTTCACGAATACAATCGAATCTGTGATAGAAATAATTTAGGTCTTTCTCTGCCAGATCCATCTATCGATATTAATTAATACAGTATATATAACTCTCAGATTTCTGTGGACATGAACACATGTCAGACACTTCAGATGTCTTCCCTACCGACCAACGTATTGGATTTTTTTCACAAATTGGGCTTTCAAGTTACCTAAAGCCTCTTAATAGTGTTTTTTTTTTGGGTTTTGGGTCACAAATAGTTTCGCCAGTTTTTTTTATTAAACAACGATAGAATTTGTAATCAT